TTCGTCGACCGCTGGATGCACTTGAACTTCAGCTCTTAATCGTTTGTTACGTAACAGGAATAGACCACAGTTGTAAATGCTTTTGTGAGGCTACAACTGTAAAACTGGGGCTGGAGGGAGGGACAATTATTTGAACAAAGCATGTGTATTGAACTGTGTAGTTGGCGTCATCTGTAAGCAGGAAGTTGCCACTTATATTGAGAAGTTGTATTTATGTACACAATGCTGCAATATTGTTGTATTAGGGTGGCACAATGCCATGTTGAGAAACTCATCTGGGTACATCCCGGCTTTTTCACAACATTTTCCCCCGTTTCCCCACTGGCTTTCGCACTCTGACGCACTCCTCGTCGGATTTCCTGTCATTATTACACAGCTTTGAACAGTCAATATATTTCCTGCCAATATTTCTTCATTCAGAGAAAAAGCTTTTTTTTTTTAGCTTGAATCAGGATCCAGTTAGCCCAAGTTTGGATAGAGCACACCCTAACGCCAATGAATGGGTAAAAGCCAGGCACCGTTAGGCCCGTAGTTAATATTATCCTAATAATACTGAGTTATAATGACTCTGTCATATCATGGTTGGGGTTAGGTTTAGGGTTAGGCTAGGTGAGTGTAGGAATGGGGTACTGGGACTGCGTGGCTGGCTGGGTGTGACTGCTTCAGGCGTTAGCGGTTGGGCCCGGGAGGTGATATGGATGGGGCCCAGGAGGTGATATGGATGGGGCCCGGGAGGTGATATGGATGGGGCCCGGGAGGTGATATGGATGGGGCCCGGGAGGTGATATGGATGGGGCCCGCGAGGTGATATGGATGGGGCCCGCGAGGTGATATGGATGGGGCCCGCGAGGTGATATGGATGGGGCCCGCGAGGTGATATGGATGGGGCCCGGGAGGTGATATGGATGGGGCCCGGGAGGTGATATGGATGGGGCCCGGGAGGTGATATGGATGGGGCCCGGGAGGTGATATGGATGGGGCCCGGGAGGTGATATGGATGGGGCCCGGGAGGTGATATGGATGGGGCCCGGGAGGTGATATGGATGGGGCCCGGGAGGTGATATGGATGGGGCCCGGGAGGTGATATGGATGGGGCCCTGGGTCATGGCAGCTGTATCCATGTACCACAGTAGCCTGAGAACAGTTACCCAGTCTGGGAAGTATGCATGAATGTATCCATCTCCCAGTTGAGGCAGTGACTGTGTTGTGCTGTTGTGTGTCATCCGTATGTCTACTGACCAGGTCTGTCTGCCACCCAGACCAACAGTTTAACATGGTGACACAGGGTTTGGTCCAACATGGCTATTGTAGTGTATATCGATGGTGTCTTGTCTATCAAATTAGTATGAGTCGATTCATCCAATCTACTTGCATTCACTTTATAAGATAATGTGTTTTACCATGTACCGGTAATCCAAGGTGATGTTCTTTCCTTGTTGTTGTTTTAAAAAAATGTAATCACATCCGGCCTTGTCACTCATCACACACTAATACACGCATTTACTAAATTAGGCTTATCCTTCCCGAGTCATCAGCTTCTTTCTGAGCCCTTTCACTCAGACTGAGAACTAAGACGGCTCTTCGGTGACGGTGCGCTGCTGGATTTAAAACCTGGCTGCTGTCGACACTGCCTGCGTCACCCCAATTACAGGCCACCGGATGTGGGAGAGAGAGCTTCTAGTTCTAAATATTTGTGGGATTAGGGGGAGATGTCTCTGGGGAATGACTAGAGAAGGAACATTACCTGGGACAGGACCGGCCTGCCGGTGATCCGGCGAAGGACCATTCAGGAATAACCGGTGATCTTTATGGCGCCAACCCAGGGAGAGTGATGTTCTTAATTGAACAGACTTAATTTTGTTTTTTAACTTGTTCTGCAAGAGAATCAGATAGCTGAAATGACAAGTTTGCTGGCAGCAATTGGGATTTTGTTCCATTTTTCGTTTATCGGTACTGGGGTGCATATTGACAGCAGATGGGCTGCAGATGGGCGTCTTTCTATTGCAAGCTGGAGGGAGGCCTGGTTTGCACAGGTTGTCTGGGAAATGGACCAACAGTTGGGTGCTGTTCACATGTGCACACACAGACACACACACACACAGCAACACACACAGACACACACACACACACACACACACACACACACAGCCAGACTCATCCATGCGGGGCAGCTAGGAACCAGCTTTAACTGCATGCTGCTCTCAAAGACAGACCAGCTGACAGAGACTCAGGGGTAGTGTTGTACCCACACAGATGGACAGATGGGGAGCTAGACAGAAGGAAGAACAAAATGATGTATACTATTAATAGTAAAGGTATTGACAGGTGTGGAGACACACACACAAAGAGAGCGAGAGAGATACAAGTCAGCTGTCTGCAATGGGTTTATTTGATATTTCCTTTTGCTTTCAAAAGGAAAAGGTGGCCTCCATTTGAGGCCTTGAAGCTTCCGGAACCCCATGGTACATCAAAGGAGCTTCAGTATGTTGTTTTTTATAGCCACTATCAAAGGGTTATGGAGTTGGCACCGCAAGTATTGACTAGGAGACCCCCTCACTATATATACAGTGAGGGGAAAAAAGTATTTGATCACCTGCTGATTTTGTACGTTTGCCCACTGACAAAAACATGATCAGTCTATACTTTTAATGGTAGGTTTATTTGAACAGTGAGAGACAGATTAACAACAATAAAATCAAGAAAAACGCATGTCAAAAATGTTCTAAATTGATTTGCATTATAATGATGGAAATAAGTATTTGACCCCTCTGCAAAACATGACTTAGTACTTGGTGGCAAAACCCTTGTTGGCAATCACAGAGGTCAGACGTTTCTTGTAGTTGGCCACCAGGTTTGCACACATCTCAGGAGGGATTTTGTTCCACTCCTCTTTGCAGATCTTCTCCAAGTCATTAAGGTTTCGAGGCTGACGTTTGGCAACTCGAACCTTCAGATTTTCTATGGGATTAAGGTCTGGAGACTGGCTAGGCCACTCCAGGACCTTAATGTGCTTCTTCTTGAGCCACTCCTTTGTTGCCATGGCCGTGTGTTTTGGGTCATTGTCATGCTGGAATACCCATCCACGACCCATTTTCAATGCCCTGGCTGAGGGAAGGAGGTTCTCACCCAAGATTTGACGGTACATGGCCCCGTCCATCGTCCCTTTGATGCGATGAAGTTGTCCTGTCCCCTTAGCAGAAAAACACCCCCAAAGCATAATGTTCCACCTCCATGTTTGACGGTGGGGATGGTGTTCTTGGGGTCATAGGCAGCATTCCTCCTCCTCCAAACACGGCGAGTTGAGTTGATACCAAAGAGCTCGATTTTGGTCTCATCTGACCACAACACTTTCACCCAGTTCTCCTCTGAATCATTCAGATGTTCATTGGCAAACTTCAGACGGCCCTGTATATGTGCTTTCTTGAGCAGGGGAACCTTGCGGGCGCTGCAGGATTTCAGTCCTTCACGGCGTAGTGTGTTACCAATTGTTTTCTTGGTGACTATGGTCCCAGCTGCCTTGAGATCATTGACAAGATCCTCCTGTGTAGTTCTGGGCTGATTCCTCACCGTTCATGATCATTGCAACTCCACGAGGTGAGATCTTGCATGGAGCTCCAGGCCGAGGGAGATTGACAGTCTTTTGTGTTTTTTCCATTTGCGAATAATCGCACCAACTGTTGTCACCTTCTCACCAAGCTGCTTGGCAATGGTCTTGTAGCCCATTCCAGCCTTGTGTAGGTCTACAATCTTGTCCCTGACATCCTTGGAGAGCTCTTTGGTCTTGGCCATGGTGGAGAGTTTGGAATCTGATTAATTGATTGCTTCTGTGGACAGGTGTCTTTTTATACAGGTAACAAGATGAGATTAGGAGCACTCCCTTTAAGAGTGTGCTCCTAATCTCAACTCGTTACCTGTATAAAAGACACCTGGAGGCCAGAAATCTTTCTGATTGAGAGGGGGTCAAATACTTATTTCCCTCATTAAAATGCTAATCATTTTTGACATGCGTTTTTCTGGATTTTGTTGTTGTTATTCTGTCTCTCACTGTTCAAATAAACCTACCATTAAAATTATAGACTGATCATTTCTTTGTCAGTGGGCAAACATACAAAATCAGCAGGGGATCAAATACTTTTTTCCCTCACTGTATCTGTAGGCCAAACCTCACACAAAGCCCACTGTACTGCAGTTTGGACAAAGCAAGATACTATTGTACTGGTACAAAGCAGCCTAAGGTTGACACAATGCATAGACCAGCTTCAATACATCAGACTAATCCTATCTTAAGAGAAGTCTTGAGCACAATGAAGTCTAACCTGTTGTTTTTCACCCCCTCACCAGGTGGCCTGTAGCACCGAGAGTAACGGCAACACGGCACCGAGAGTAACGGCGACACGGCACCGAGAGTAACGGCGACACGGCACCGAGAGTAACGGCGACACGGCACCGAGAGTAACGGCGACACGGCACCGAGAGTAACGGCGACACGGCACCGAGAGTAACGGCAACACGGCACCGAGAGTAACGGCAACACGGCACCGAGAGTTACGGCAACACGGCACAGAGCAGGCGAGACGCCAAGAGAGAAGTAGAGACTTGTTATTTTCTCTTTCCCAGTCAGTTTTGTCTTGAGCAGAAGCAGCAGCGTCTCTCTATCAGTCCATCTGTGACAGTCGTGTTTGGCTACTCCGTTTCATAAGCAAAATATTATCTCTCCCTTCGGTTCCAAATCCGCGGTGTATCTCCTCACCCTTCAGCACTTTAAAGGAGGGTTTCAGCAAAAACAAATATTTCATTTTTTTTTTTTACATTTTCAGGAGAAACAATGTTTTCTCTCCTTAGTGTTTTATCAACCAATCAACCAATCATGATTCACAACTACAGTCACACTAGTCCCACCTAATCAACTGGAAAATATAATTTTCTATAATTATCTTACATTACACTTGGTGAGAGAGCTTTATCTCAACCAAGCCTAACCAGCCTCTTCCTAACCTATTATGAGTTATGACAACTCAAACTCCGCCCCTGGCAATGACACTCGGGGGCGAATGGGAAGCACCAATGAAGAAGAGGAGGAGGCGGGAACAGGAGTGAGCTCCCCCGGGAGCAACAACAACAGTGGCAGCCAATCGGGAACGTCGGACTCGGCCAATCGGGAGCGAGGATCCTCTCCAAATGGATCCGGCTCCGGTGGCTCGTCCGGAAGGGACCAGAGGGGTCCCAGCTCAGATGACGGGGACACTTTATCCAGCGGGAACGACTCCGGGGAGAGGGACCCGAGTGAAAGAGGGAGCGGGTCCAGGGGACATCAGTCCAGGAGTTCCCACTGCTCCTCGAGCCAGAAGGACTCGGGCATGATGCTGGAGAACACAGAGAGCAACAAGAGCTCTAACTCCCAGTCCCAGAGCCTGTCTCCCCCTAGCAGTTCCCTGGCCTACAGCCTGCTGTCAGCCAGCTCAGAGCAGGACCCTCCTTCCACCTCCGGCTGCAGCAGCAATGAGCAGCACCAGACGGCCCGTGTCCAGACCCAGAAGGAGATGCTGAAAGCCCTGAAGGAGCTCAAGGTCCGCCTGCCGGCCGAGTGCAAGGGCAAAGGTCGCTCCAGCACCCTGGATGCCCTCAAGTATGCCCTGAACTGTGTGAAGCAGGTACGGGCCAACCAGGAGTACTACCACCAGTGGAGCGTGGAGGAGTGCCACAGCTGCAGCCTGGATCTGTCCTCATACACCATTGAGGAGCTGGACAACATCACCTCCGAGTACACCCTAAAAAACACAGTACGTCAACATCCTCAAAACAATGACTAAGCATTTCACACACATTCAATTTCACTTTGTTTAAAAAAAAAAAGTAACATTCTGTAATGCAGTCGAATTTCACAGTACGAAAGCAATCATTCCTGACTCACACTCTTCCTCCCTCCTCCTCTCTACTTCTCCCTCTAGGACACCTTCTCCATGGCGGTGTCCTTCCTGACAGGCAAGGTGGTGTACATCTCCCCCCAGGGCTCGTCCCTGCTGCGCTGCAAGCCAGAGAGGCTCCATGGGGCCATCTTCTCCGAGCTGCTGGCTCCCCAAGACGTCAGCACCTTCTACAGCAGCACGGCCCCCTGCCGCCTGCCCCCCTGGGCCACCTGCATGGGCTCTGTCTCCCCACCGACAGACTGCACCCAGGAGAAGTTCATGTACTGTCGCATCAGCGCCGACCGGGCACAGGGAGGTGAGATGAAATACCACCCCTTCCGCATGACCCCCTACCAGCTAACCCTGAGGGACTTTGACACGTCAGACCCCCAGCCCTGCTGTCTGCTCATCGCTGAGCGGGTACACTCCGGATACGAAGCTCCCAGGATCCCTGCGGACAAGAGGATTTTTTCCACCAGTCATACTCCCAGCTGTCTCTTCCAGGAAGTAGATGAAAGGGCTGTGCCGTTGCTGGGATACCTCCCCCAGGACCTGGTGGGAACCCCTGTGCTTCTCTACCTCCACCCAGAGGACAGACCCATCATGGTGGCCATACACAGGAAGAGTAAGTACACACATCTTTTATTCTGTCTTTCTCCACATCTTTCAATCTTATTTGACTATTTTTACTATTTTAGTCTCATTCTGTCTGGTTTACTGAATCGTGTCGTCTCTGTCTCTCTCACTCTCTCTCTTTCTGTAAAGCTTGCAGTGTTCTTGCATTCTAACCCCTTTTCTCTCCATCTTCCAGTCCTCCAGTCTGCGGGCCAGCCCTTCGACAGCTCTCCGCTGAGGATGTGTGCCCGCAGCGGGGAGTACGTGACCATCGACACCAGCTGGTCCTCCTTCATCAACCCCTGGAGCAGGAAGGTGGCCTTCATCGTGGGGCGCCACAAAGTTCGAACCAGCCCCCTGAACGAGGACGTGTTCACCCCTCTGCGGGGGTGCGAGGGCCGGCCCGTGGCCCCGGAGGTCGTGCAGCTGAGCGAGCAGATCCACCGTCTCCTGGTGCAGCCGGTGCACAGCGGTGGGTCGCAGGGTTACAGCAGCCTGGGCTCAAATGGATCCCACTCCCATGAGCAGCGGTACCGCAGCGCCGCGTCCGACAGCAAGTCCACCAACGCCATGGAGGCCATGGAAGCAGCCGTGGTCGCCCTGCACAAACCGGTGAGTGGAATGGAGACACACAGAGACTGTACCAAAAACCTACACGCACACACAGGTCTTCATATTTTACGTTAGTCATTTAGCAGACTCTTATCCAGAGCGACTTACAGGCGCAATTAGTTAAGTGCCTTGCTCAAGGGCACATCGACAGATTGTTCACCTATTTGGCTCGGGGATTCAAACCAGCGACCTTTTGGTTACTGGCACAACGCTCTTAACCGCTAGGCTACCTGCCGCCCCGTATATTCACCCCACTGACGTCTGACCATCGTTGTCCTCTCGGTCCCCTAGATGACGTTCCAGCAGATCTGCAAGAACGTGCACATGGTCAAGACCAGCGGGCAGCAGGTCTTCATCGACTCTCGCAACCGAGCCCCGCCCCGGCGACACGCCGTAACCACGCTACGAGCCATTGGAGAAGTGGACCCCATCAAGAGTCTGATCCCGGAGGTGGTGTGCCCGCCCAAAACCCCGGTGCCCAACACCCAGCAGCTGGTGAAGGAGCCCACCGGTGACTACAGCTACCAACAGATCAACAGTCTGGACAGCATCATAAGGTATTTACTGGTGTGCATAATGATGGTATTAATAGTGATTTTATTGTGAATAATGATGGTATTAATAGTGATTTTATTGTGAATAATGATGGTATTAATAGTGATTTTAGTGTGAATAATTATGGTATTAGTAGTGATTTTATTGTGAATAATTATGGTATTTTATTGCGAATAGTGAAGTGATTAATAATGATTCAATTTATGGGCTGAATCCTAAATTGAAATCAAGTGCACTTCATAAACTGAACCAAATTGACTTACGCTGTCACTTCCTCTTCCCCTCCCAGGTACTTGGACGGCTGTAACGTTCCCAACACGGTTAAGAGGAAGTTTGGCTCGTCCTCTGGCCCGTCCACATCGGACGAAGACATACAGCAGCAGGAAACCGCTGGGAACGCAAAAGGTACATTCACACTACAGCCCCTGTTAGATAGACTCTGTGTTCCAGGTTACACTACAGCCCCTGTTAGATAGACTCTGTGTTCCAGGTTACACTACAGCCCCTGTTAGATAGACTCTGTGTTCCAGGTCACACTACAGCCCCTGTTAGATAGACTCTGTGTTCCAGGTTACACTACAGCCCCTGTTAGATAGACTCTGTGTTCCAGGTTACACTACAGCCCCTGTTAGATAGACTCTGTGTTCCAGGTCACACTACAGCCCCTGTTAGATAGACTCTGTGTTCCAGGTCACACTACAGCCCCTGTTAGATAGACTCTGTGTTCCAGGTTACACTACAGCCCCTGTTAGATAGACTCTGTGTTCCAGGTTACACTACAGCCCCTGTTAGATAGACTCTGTGTTCCAGGTCACACTACAGCCCTGGTTAGATAGACTCTGTGTTCCAGGTTACACTACAGCCCCTGTTAGATAGACTCTGTGTTCCAGGTCACACTACAGCCCCTGTTAGATAGACTCTGTGTTCCAGGTCACACTACAGCCCCTGTTAGATAGACTCTGTGTTCCAGGTCACACTACAGCCCCTGTTAGATAGACTCTGTGTTCCAGGTTACACTACAGCCCCGGTTAGATAGACTCTGTGTTCCAGGTCACACTACAGCCCCTGTTAGATAGACTCTGTGTTCCAGGTCACACTACAGCCCCGGTTAGATAGACTCTGTGTTCCAGGTCACACTACAGCCCCTGTTAGATAGACTCTGTGTTCCAGGTCACACTACAGCCCCTGTTAGATAGACTCTGTGTTCCAGGTTACACTACAGCCCCTGTTAGATAGACTCTGTGTTCCAGGTTACACTACAGCCCCTGTTAGATAGACTCTGTGTTCCAGGTCACACTACAGCCCCTGTTAGATAGACTCTGTGTTCCAGGTCACACTACAGCCCCTGTTAGATAGACTCTGTGTTCCAGGTTACACTACAGCCCCGGTTAGATAGACTCTGTGTTCCAGGTTACACTACAGCCCCTGTTAGATAGACTCTGTGTTCCAGGTCACACTACAGCCCCTGTTAGATAGACTCTGTGTTCCAGGTCACACTACAGCCCCTGTTAGATAGACTCTGTGTTCCAGGCTACACTACAGCCCCTGTTAGATAGACTCTGTGTTCCAGGTCACACTACAGCCCCTGTTAGATAGACTCTGTGTTCCAGGTCACACTACAGCCCCTGTTAGATAGACTCTGTGTTCCAGGCTACACTAGTCTGTATACCACGTGTCTCCTCTAGATTAGACTTTGACTAGACCACTGGTCTCTGCAGTCCACACACCACAGGAGAAACAGGACACACGAGTGCGAGAGAGTGTGAAAGAGTGTGCGAGAGCGAGGGGACTCTTAAAGAGAACTTCCGTCTGTTCTATAAAGGCCTGCTTGTTGTGACACGCTTGAAATAAACTGGGGAGGGGGGGCGGGGTTTACCATGAGAGCAATCCGTAGGATTGACTCACCTAGGTCTGTACGTTGGTCTGTGTGTGTGTGTGTGTGTGTTGGGTGCTTGTTGCTGCGTGTGCATGGCGCTGCAGGTGGTCCAGCGACTACAGTCACCTTGGTTGGGGACTCAGCGGGGGTACCCCCCCTGGCCTTGCGCAGCCACAAGGCGGAGAGCGTAGCCTCAGTCAACTCTCAGTGCAGCTTCAGCAGTACCATCGTCCACGTGGGAGACAAGAAGCCCCCCGAGTCAGGTGGGCTAGACAACATGGCGGCCACGCTTGTCTTCTGGCCTGGACTCCTATTAAACTAGTGTTCTGTCACTGGAGTCTGTCAACTATCTGCCACCAGTGTCTGTCCGTGGAATCTCTCGCAGTTACTTGATAGTAACTCGTAGTTGCTTGTCGTTGCTCTGTCTTGTCTTTTTGTGGTAATTGTTTTCCATCTATCTCTCGCTTCATTGCTTGTTTTTAGCTCTTTTGTGTCTCTTCTGTCTCCTTCTGTCTCCTTCTGTCTCCTTCTGTCTCTCAAGCCACAGAGTCCAGCTTGTGTTTCTGAAACTGTCTCTTAACGTCTCCTCATTCTCTCTCTGTCTCCTGCACAGACGTTGTCATGGAAGGTGCTCCTCCCACTCCCACGACCAAGTCTCCTCCCACCGCCATCATCGCCCCTCCCCCGCCCAAAACGACCTCTCCACCCAGCCGGAGAGGAGTTGGCCTGACCAGGGAGGTGCTCTCTGCCCACACGCAGCAGGAGGAGCAGGCCTTCCTCTGTCGCTTCAGTGACCTGAGCCAGCTGAGGGTGTTCGAGCCAGCCTCGGCCCTGCGCTGCCCGCTCCCCACCGGCAACACCCGCGCCAGAGGTAAAAATGCATTTTTGTCAACAACACTCTTTTCAACAACTAGCTTTTTTAACTCGGGCCACCTATCCAACTGCACTGAACTCCATACTATACTGTTCCTGTTCCTTTATAACTTATGCATCTTTCTCTCTCTCTCAGGAGTGCATTGTTCTCCTGACTACCCTGCAGCTGGAGGAAGCAGTGGCCGCCGTGGAGCCAAGAGGCTGAAGCAGCAGGAGTCCTCAGAACAGAGGGGCCCTCTGGCTCTGGGCCTGACCGGACCCCTCAGGGGCCCCAACGTCGGCCCCAGGAACTCCACCTACACCCTCCCAATGATGCCCCTGGGGCCTCCCACCACCACCTCCTCCTCCTGGCCCGCCTCCGTGGGATCCCAGGCCAGCCTGCCTTCTGTGCCCTACCTCCCGGGCACGCTCCCCCTCTACCCCATCTACCCTCCTCTCTCCCAGCCCATGCAGAACCAGATGGTACCTCCTATGATGACCCTGGTGCTGCCCAACTACATGTTCCCCCAGCTCAACCACAACATGCCCCAGATGGCCACAGCCATGAACACGATGGGATGCCCCATGCCCCAGCCGGGAGCCAGCATGGTTACCCCCGGCCCACAGCAATTCTTCAACCCCAGCGCGGGTTTCCCCTTCCCCGGTACCAACGCCACGCCATGCCCCATGCCTACGATGCCCTCAATGCTCTCACTCATGCAAACCGCCGTGCCCATCCAGGCCCAACGGCCAGTCTCTAGCCCCAGCACCCCCCAGTCATGTAGTCAAGTACCGGCCGACCGTGAGGGTGCAGAGTCGCCCCTCTTCCACTCTCGCTGCTCCTCCCCGCTCAACCTGCTGCAGCTGGTGGAGGAGTCGCCCAGCAACCGGTTGGAGGTCGCCACGGCGCTGGCTGCTGCCGCGCAACAGGCCACGCCTCCCGCACAAGGGACTCGGGGGAGATCGGCAGATAACTCCAAGGAGAACGTGAGTTGAAAAGATGTCTCTAAATGTACATTGTGTTCATTATAGTTTGAACTCGATACGTTTTGCTAAGGTGTTACATTTTACATTTACATCATTTAGCAGACGCTCTTATCCAGAGCGACTTACAAATTGGATTACTTAAGACTAATCTCTCTCTCCTTCCTCTCTTCAGGCCAATTCCAACCAGGATGCTGAGTCCACCTCCAGTGGCCTACTGGACCTGCTCCTGCAGGAGGACTCCCGCTCACGCACCGGCTCAGCTGCCTCAGGCTCCGGGTCCTCTGGCTCTGGGTTAGGGTCTTCTGGATCCGGATCTGGGTCCTTGGGCACTGGGTCCAACGGCTGCAGCTCCTCAGGCAGTGGAACTAGTGAGTATCCCCTCAATACAGCCTGACATGGTAGATAGAGTAGAACACGGTGACATTCAAATGGCGTTCTAATATCACCTAGAACCTTTTGAAATGTCAAATCTTCTAGCTGTCACTCAAACATAAAGTGTTCACACTGACAACTCCAGCTGGTTAAGATCTTGACCCCTAACAACCTCTTCCAATCGTCTCCCCCCCTCCCCCAGGTCGCAGTCGGAGTAGCCACACCAGCAAGTACTTCGGCAGCATCGACTCGTCAGAGAACGAGCACTCCCGCAGGCAGCCAGCAGGTGGCAGCAGAACAGGGGGAGACGGAGAAGAGCAGTTCATCAGGTGTGTCCTGCAGGACCCCATCTGGCTCCTCATGGCCAACACTGACCGCAAGGTGATGATGACCTACCAGCTGCCCACCAAGGACAGGGAGACGGTTCTGCGGCAGGACCGCGAGGCCCTGAGGGCCATGCACAAACACCAGCCCCGCTTCAGTGAGGACCAGAAGAGAGAACTGAGCCAGGTCCACCCCTGGATATGCACCGGTCGCCTTCCCCGCGCCATCAACACCTCGGTATGCACCCCCCACAACAACCATGTCCCCTCAAACGTAACTTTTTAATTTGGTTTGTTTTATGTGATCATTTGAACATAGACCTACAGCCATATGACCTGTTTCATCCATAAGTGATCATACTGGAAATGTTTTGGCTGTCAGCTAACCCTCCCCTCCTCTACACCTCTCTCTCTCTCTCAGGCATGTGTGGGGTGCAAGTCTCCCCCCGCCATCGCAGCCGCCGGCCCCGTTTGACATGGAGATCCGCGACATGGAGCAGTGCACCGCTACTCAGGAGAAGGCCCCTTTACCAGAGACCGCCATGGACCAGGGAGGAGAGGCTCACAGAGAGGAGCGGGAGGGGCATGCGGCGCACTCCGAAACGCAAGGCAACGTCCAGGAAATGACAACAGAGGAGCAGGAAGTGACCTCGCCAACGGAGGAGGAGAAAGCGAGGGCTGGCGAAACCGACATGACCCACTGAAGGGTTGAGAATAGCTCAAGAACACACATTTGTTGTGACTTTTCCTTCCAACTGACAGACGCCACGCTAAGAGATGCAAATTCCAGGCCCCAATGTCCAACGCTAATCCGAGAGACTCAAGACTTTTGTTCACAGGCGGTTGCGAGTAATCAAAGTGCATTCTTTTCATATTATCTGGGACTACTGCCATGTCAGTGTCCCTATTGGCTGGCGGTCAGATCATTTGGGACTCTGGGTCCAATCAGTCACTGCACTTTGTGGATCCCATCACCAGTGTGACTGTGGTTGTGACAGAGGCCGTCATCATGACAGAAAGCCTTGGAAGCACGGGGGACACAGCACACCGTTTGAATCAGCGTACCGTTGTATTGTACACACCGATATATATTTTTCCTTGTGTATTTATTGAACATGTTAATTTAATAAGAAACGCTAAAGTTGAAAGTGGAGAGGTATGAATGTGTTACTAAATGGATTTTATTTCACACGAAGTCCACTCCCGTTTTGGGATAGAATGGTTTCTCCTGTACAGTTCTAATTCCTGTTGGGAGGATTCATTTCACAGAGAGAGGGAGGGAGTTTAGCGGCTAGACCCCTTGGTTATTTTTCTCTGTTGGAAGGTTTTCGCTGATAACCTGGGATTGTTGTAAATTGATTTGTTTTCTGCATAATTTTTTCCAAACAAACTTTTGGAAATTGTTATTTTTTCAGGTTTACTTTATTTTGTAAGCAGTATGTATATTTTTATATTTTATATCACTGTCAATTCTGTTCCGAGAAGAAATTGAAATTGTCTGTGTTTGTGACGTGTTTGGTCAAAAAACAAAACATTTAGAAAATCAAAGTACCCTCTGATTTCAAGGGAGTAGATATGGGTGTTTCCGTGGTAACACAATCCAATGCGGTGTCACTCTGGACAACAGAGTGACAGTTGAACATCTGGGACCCCTGTCGCCATTCCTGATTGGCTGGGCATTATGGTCACCCTGCAGTGAAACGGTCCATGAAACTTTTGCTGCAAACCTTTTCCTCTGAAAACAGTCCAGGATACTGAACAAGGTAAAAGCTTCCATAGCAACAAAGAGAACAGACTTTTGATTGGAGGCATCTATCACAAGGATTCGGAATACTGAAAACCAGATTGGCTGGTTATGGACGGTACACGCCGATGGCAGAGGCTCTGATTGGTTTGAAAGGAGTTTGAACAACACTTCAGAACATTGTTCAGCTCTGAGAGTTTTTAGAGAATATATTTGTTTGACTGTCTCTCCTCTCCTCACTGTACTAGTGATGTGATATTCAGCTTAATTTCCTAATTATTATTTTGTGAATTTGTATAAAAAAAAGTTAATAAATACAATATCCAATGTTTCATGACTTGTCTTCTGTACTGCACCTGACTCAGGGAATGTAGCCAGTTAACCCAAACTGTATGTACAGTTCCTTTAGATAAGGTATGATAAACCCACAGTTTCAACATCTTTCCTTTAGGTAAATTTTTAGTCATTTAGCAGACGCTCTTATCCAGAGCGACTTACAGTTAGTGAGTGCATACATTTTTTTCATACTGGCCCTCCCCGTGGGAAACGAACCCACAACCCTGGCGTTGCAAGCGCCATGCTCTACCAACTGAGCTACAGGGGACAGGTAAGGTATGATGAAACCACAGTTTCAACATCTCGGGCAGCAACGAGCTAGTACAATACATCATAGTATTTGTATCCACGTGTTTGGAGGATATATTGGCACACGGGTGTTGTTAGGCCTGAGACCAAGTCGAGTGCCGGCAAACCGTGCCAACATATCCTCCAAACACCAGCTCCGAGGGCATTATCGCTTTTATACAATGGGTTACCGACATATTAAAATAATGATTGACATATTGTAATGATGTCATGTCATAGTATCGTGGGGACCAGGTTAGAGTTACTAGATAAGTGGCTTGGTGCCACGGAGTCTACATTCTGTTATGTCAAAGGAGATTACTGATGTTTATGATGGCATGATTGATGGACGGGGTATACTGACTTGGGGTAAAGAGTGATAACATAAAATAATTGGAGTGCCCATGGAGGTTTACCAGATGTTCGTGGAGAGACTTGTAACAGAGTGTATATATAGAGAGAGTGGATCTTTGTTCTGGAGTTAGGGAGATGGTAGAGGCGAAGCTCTGTCCTTCTGTTATAACTAACCATGTTACCATATTAAATATCTAATATGATATAATATCCCCATCAAAAGGGTCTAAGTATATTCTTATATCCTTGATTACTTGATATCCTAGAAACTCATAACACACATTTTCATTAAAAACATTATTTTTATAAACTTATTCATACTATTTCCTCCTTCCACAAGATATACAGTGCATTCGGAAAGTATTCAGACCCCTTGACTTTTTCCACATTTTGTTACATTACAGCCTTATTCTAAAATTGATTAAATGTACCCCCCCCCTCATCAATCTACACACAATACCCCACAATGACAATACAAAAACAGGTTTTTAGACATTTTTGAAAAAATGTATTAATAAATGAAATATCACATTTACATAAGTATTCAGACCCTTTACTTAACCTTTAATACCACCTTTGGTAGCAATTACAACCTCAAGTCTTATTGGGTATGATGCTACAAGCTTGGCACACCTGTATTTGGGGAGCTTCTCCCATTCTTCTCTGCAGAACCTCTCAAGCTCTGTCAGGATGGATGGGGAACGTCGCTGCACAGATTTTTCAGGTTTCTCCAGAGATGTTAGATCGGGTTTTCATCAAGGATCTATTTGTACTTTGCTCCATTCATCCTTCCCTCGATCCTGACTAGTCTCCCAGTCCCTGCCGCTGAAAAATATCCCCACAATATGATCATGCCACCACCGTGCTTCACCGTAGGGATGGTGGCAGGTTTCCTCCAGACATGACCCTTGGCATTCAGGCCAAAGAGTTCAATCTTGGTTTCATCAGACCAGAGAATCTTGTTTCTCATGGTCTGAGAGTCCTTTAGGTGCCTTTTGGCAAACTCCAAGCGCGCTGTCATGTGCCTTTTACTGAGGAGTGACTTCCATCTGGCCACTCTACCATAAAGGCCTGATTGGTGGAGTGCTGCAGAGATGGTTGTCCTTCTGGAAGTTTTCCCATCTCCACAGAGGAACTCTAGAGCTCTGTCAGAGTGACCATCGGGTTCTTGGTCACCCTCCTGACCAAGGCCCTTCTCCCCCGATTGCTCAGTTTGGCCGGGCGGCCAGCTCTAGGAAGAGTCTTGGTGGTTCCAAACTTGGTGGTTCCAAAACTTCCTGTTTTCTTGGGGACCTTCAATGCTGCAGAAATGTTTTGGTACCCTTCCCCAGATCTGTGCCTCGACACAATCCTGTCTCGGAGCTCTACGGACAATTCCTTCGAACTTATGGCTTGGTTTTAGCTCTGACATGCAGTGTCAACTGTGGGACCTTATATAAACAACTTTGTGCCTTTACAAATCATGTCCAATCAAATGAATTTACCACAGGTGGACTCCAATCAAGTTGTAGACACATCTCAAGGATGATCAATGGAAACAGGATGCACCTGAGCTCGATTTCGAGTCTCATAGCAAAGGGTCTGAATACCTGTGTAAATAAGCTATTTTAATGCAAAAAAATGATAAAAACCTGTTTTCGCTTTATGGGGTATTGTTTGTAGATTGATGAGGGGGAAAAAACGATTTAATACATTTTAGATTAAGGCTGTAACTTAACAAAATGTGGAAAAGGGGAAGGGGTCTGAATACTTTCCAAATGCACTGTAGACCCGACACAAATATAGGGTTGCTACCCAAGCCGGGCTGGTCGTTCGTTCTATCGGTTCGGTTGCCAGAGACGCAACCCAGTCGTTCAGTCTTTCTGTTCTGTATCTATGGATGCAGCACAGTTGTTCATTCTAAATGTTCCATTGCCATACTGGCTGGCAACATTCTTATCCCTTGCTTGCTAGCTAGCCAACTAAGGCTAACTTAAAGTCACGTCAAAAAGTGCAGCCAGAATAACAGCAAAGTAGCTGCATTTGCGTTTGTTTAAGCTGTTTTCTAGTGACATTTACACTGGCTTGCAAAAGTATTCACCCCCCTTGGCATTTTTCCTATTTTGTTGCCTTACAACCTGGAATTAAAATTGTTTTTTTTGTGGTTTGTATCATTTGATTTACACAACATGCCTAGCACTTTGAAGATGCAAAATATTTTTGTGTGTGAAACAAACAAAAAAACAGAAAACTTGAGCGTGCATAACTATTCACCCCCCCAAAGTCAATACTTTGTAGAGCCACCTTTTGCAGCAATTACAGCTGCAAGTCTCTTGGGGTATGTCTCTATAAGCTTGGAACATCTAGCCACTGGGATTTTTGCCCATTCTTTAAGGCAAAACTGCTCCAGCTCCTTCAAGTTGGATGGGTTCCGCTGGTGTACAGCAATCTTTAAGTCATACCACAGATTCTCAATTGGATTGAGGTCTGGGCTTTGACCAGAACATTCCAAGACATTTAAATGTTTCCCCTTAAACCACTCGAGTGTTGCTTTAGCAGTATGCTTAGGGTGAACCTCCGTCCCAGTCTCAAATCTCCGGAAGACTGAAACAGGTTTCCCTCAAGAATTTCCCTGTATTTAGCGCCATCCATCATTCCTTCAATTCTGACCAGTTTCCCAATCCCTGCCGATGAAAAACATGATGGTGTTCTCGGGGTGATGAGAGGTGTTGGGTTTGCGCCAGACATAGCATTTTCCTTGATGGCCAAAAAGCTCAATTTTTGTCTCATCGGACCAGAGTACCTTCTTCCATATGTTTGGGGAGTCTCCCACATGCCTTTTGGTGAACACCAAACATGTTTGCTTATTTTTTTATTTAAGCAATGGCTTTTTTCTGGCCACTCTTCCGTAAAGCCAAGCTCTGTGGAGTGTACGGCTTAAAGTGGTCCTATGGACAGATACTCCAATCTCTGCTGTGGATCTTTGCATCTCCTTCAGGGTTATCTTTGGTCTCTTTGTTGGCTCTCTGATTAATGCCCTCCTTGCCTGGTCCGGGAGTTTTGGTGGGCGACCCTCTCTTGGCAGGTTTGTTGTGGTGTCATATTCTTTCCATTTTTTAATAATAGATTTAATGGTGCTCCGTGGGATTTTCAAAGTTTCTGATATTTTTTTTATAACCCAACCCTGATCTGTACTTCTCTACAACTTTGTCCCTGACCTGTTTGGAGAGCTCCTTGGTCTTCATGGTGCCGCTTGCTTGGTGGTGCCCCTTGCTTAGTGGTGTTGCAGACTCTGGGGCCTTTCAGAACAGGTGTATAAATACTGAGATCATGTGACACTTATATTGCACACAGGTGGACTTTATTTAACTAATTTTGTGACTTCTGAAGGTAATTGGTTGCACCAGATCTTATTTAGGGGCTTCATAGCAAAGGGGGTGAATACATATGCACGCACCACTTTTCCGTTATTTATTTTTTCGAATTTTCTGAAACAAGTAATTTTTTTCATTTCACTTCACCAATTTGGACTATTTTGTGTATGTCCATTACATGAAATCCAAATAAAAATCCATTTAAATTACAGGTTGTAATGCAACAAAATAGGAAAAACACCAAGAGGGATGAATACTTTTGAAAGGCACTGTATTTGGATACATCCATAACAATGAGCTTGATTTCGCTTGGCATAGAAAATGTGCTCACTTGTCAGGACACTGTTGTTCAGAGGAGCTAGCCAACAACACAGCTAACACAATCACTTCAAGCTGAAGCTGGAAAGACTGCAAACTAACTACCTTTTTTCAATTGACATTTCTTTGTATATATCCATAAAAAGTATGCCAGCTCATTCATGATTTCGACTGGCTGAGAAACGCTGCCTGCCTGTCTGTCTCCTCCCGACTCCCGACACGTTCATTACTATGGGACAGCTGGAGATCGAATTTGAATATTGAAACAATGTTGCAAATGTCAGAGAGACAGACAGCAAGGTTTATACAAATCTCCGCTGTTGAAAGCTAAATGTTAGTCTAAAAGAAATGTGAGCTAATGTCTAGATGCTTTTTATAGTGGAGATCAAGTTTATAAATTGCCTGGCTGGGCTGAGTAAAAAGGCATTTTAACGTCATAGCCAGGGGTAACTTGTGGAGTAGACACCGGCTGGAATGCGGTTGTAACCAACCAGCATTCAGGATTAGACCCACCTGTTTTATAAAGATATTTAGAAGTGAATACTGTGTTGTTAATCAACAATGGTTGATAGGAATTTTTGTGACAAGATGTCAAACATCAGACAAAGAGCTTGATACAGACTATAGCCTACAGCAGTTATCAATATGTTTTTAATTTGCAGTTATCAAAATACCGTTAG